CCCCTCAGAGCAAGCCCCGTTCCAAGACTGAGACTCAAAAGGGAATACAAGGGCAGGTGTATGGTCTGGCTGGTGACCACGCTCGTCACCGATGGAGGAAGAAGGGGAAAAAACAGCAATGAAGTTGCGAACTAAGCCCAACCACATTCAATAGACTCCCGTGAGCCCGGGTGGAGACCTGGATGGCCAGCAGTACAGCAAGACTTGGGGACTCCTGGGCCCAGAGGCAGTGACATGGCCACAAAGGACTGGAATGGAGAGGGAGGTATCCAGCTGATGTGAAGTGAGGGGAGATGCACAAGAACACTCATACTTGCAGATAGTACCCACTTGATCTGGCTTCGATGGCTAAATGATCAGAACTCAACTAGAAGAAGAAAGAAGAGGGGGAAAAAAGAAAGAGTAACCTGTTACAATTTTATGAACTTTACCTATACTTATGGATGTAGTCGCTCAAAAAAGGGAACAAATCTTTACAGTAAGGATCACTCCCAACCCCTCGCTACATAGGTTTGACAGGGATGGGCAACATAGACAATGGCTACCCAAAATGGGGAAGTCTATAAAGGAAAGAAGTGACTGTCTTGCAAGCTTTCAAGAGGGAGCCTAGTTTCAGATGGGGCAGGGGAAGGTAAAATCACCAATGAACAGTTTTCAATCCATTGGGCCAGGGCTGGTGAAAGGAAATGGGGATAAGTCTCTTGTGGTACAATAGTGAATAATTGCCATCAGGTCTGATTGTTAGGCTAGGAAATAAATAGGTAGATGGTTTTTTGGTTGTTTTTTTTTACAAAAGGAGGAGAGTGATTGATTCTGCAGTCCAGGAGCAGAGGTCCCTGGGACCATCAAGTGAGAAGAACGGAGAGCGGGGCCCTACCCAAAGAGGCAGGGATGGAGACAGAGAAGATGACATGGACAGATGGAGCAGCTGTGGACAGTGGACTCAGGGAGGGAGAAGGGCTGTGTGCTGGCAGCTGGGAGGTGGGCGGGGGGTGGGCCTGTGTGGTGTCCCCTTTGGTGTTATATGATGATGCATGGAAGGGATTGTAATCATTGCAATGAAATGAAATATGATAGGATGAGTGTAAAGTTGATGTTCTCCCATGTAAACCTCACAATAAAAACTTATCACAAAAAAGCAAAATTCAAAAGGTTCTTTGTAGTCCATGTTCCTGTATAGAATGTTCTAAATCAAACAGCTAGGATATGGTATATTTAAAAAAAAGTCATAAAAATAAGCTTTCACATAAACTTTTATCTTCACTGCTGTTTTAAAGAAGAAATGATTATAATATTTTCCTGGGATATACTTTAAAGATGCCACTGACTGTCGTGGCAAAACAATTATGTGCATGTTATTCCATGACATAAAACAGCACCCAATAGAACATCTGCATGTACTCTCTACGGGATGCTATAAAGGGAGAGAAGAGGCGATAAGAACGTTGAGCGATGTGGTTATCTGTGCTCGTGTTGTGACCGCAGCTCCAGTCCTGGGAGGATACATACCCAACAATGTCAAGACACAGGCCAGGATGGCGAGCAGGGCCCCAGTGCTGAGGCCTGCTGGGAGAACGTAGGCCTCTGCGTTGCATGTCTGCGCGATGCCGTCCACATCACAGTCACACACCCGGATGGTGAGGGTGTTGGTGCTGCTGAGTGAAGGGGACCCGCTGTCCACTATGAAAATGGGCAGATAGTACACAGACTGCTCCTGTCTTCGGAAGCCACTCCTCCTGGTCAGGATTGAGGCCGTGTTGTCTAGGATAAAGAAAGTGAAGTCTGTGACCCACGTTGTCTGAGGGAATCAACATTCCCAAACTTGACTGATCTACTCTTTATTTGGTTTCTAATCAAACGAAAACCCTGGTGGTGACGCATCTTTTCACTGAGCAATTCCGACCATCTTTAAACAAGAGAGACCTACTTTCAAATTCTGCCTCCATTGACAACATTGGATATTTCTGTTACGCTACACACTGAGTTATACCAAACCACAAAAAATAGTTATAAGGTAAAGATGAATACAAAAATGTTCATGTTTTGCTCATGTTAGGTGGTGATGGTTATGTGCCAGTGAGTTGGTTCTGACTCATAGTGACCCTGTAGAGAGTTTCCAAGGCTGTAAATCTTTACGGGAATGGAAAGCCTCATTTTTCTCCTTGGGAATGGCTGATAGTTTTGAACTGCTGACCTTGGGGTTCGCAGCCCAACTCATAACCATTACGCTACCAGAAAAAGCAATGCAAACACTACATCCTTTTATTTACCTAAAATTTCAAACTACACTTTTTGCAGTAAGGATGGTAGAAATTAACAGATGCAGCATTATTAGATGTGAGATATTTCAATCCATCCTATCTTTGACATGTTACAAGCCCAATTAGGTGGTCTACTCATCGTTACAATTGAGTGCAACCCTTTGTAGGTTTTCCTAGACTACATCTGTCTGTAGGGGAGCAGAAAGCGTCATCTTCCTCCTGCAAAGATTCAAACTGGTAACCCTGCAGTTAGTTAGCAGAGCAATGTGTAACCTATTATGCTCCCGGGGTTCTTTAACTCCAGTATGTTATTATTAAGTGCCATTGAGTTGGCTCCGACTCATAGCAACCATGTATAGGGTTTCCTGGTGGGTGTGAACACTAACCTTGGGTTAGCAGTCCAGTGCTTACCTACAGCATCACACTAGCACCCAGTATAGAAATAAGCAAAATAAAAAGACGCTCCTTTTATTTAATTGAGCATACATTTCAAAGGAGAAATTATTTCATCTTTTCAGTGATTCAAAACTGGTACATATTGAAGTGAAAACGGTGTATTTTATCAGTGGAAAAACAGTTTTTGTTTAATTTATATTCAATATTCTATTTCACCTAAATAATGGTAATAATTATGAACACTCTAATCATGATCAATGTCTGTATGCTATAACTGTGATTTATAGATCACAAAAACAATTATAGATTCTCTCATATGCTGGGGATTTCTCCAGCAAATTTATGGTAATTAACTAATTAGAGAATTTCTATTGTTATTACTGCTATTCAATTGACTTGGATTCTTGGTGACCTTACACACCACAGAATCCAATGCTGTCAGCCCATGCCAGCTGCAAAGTCACCAGCGTGTTCGAGCCCATCTTTGTGACTATTCCACGAATCCATCTCACTGAGGGCTTCCCACGCCCTCAGGGCTCTCTATTGCAATAAACATGATGTCCTCCTCTGGGACTGATGGTTCTTTATAACAAATCCAAAGCAAATGAGTCAGACAGTGTTCTGTTGTGACTCATACGGTGTTCACTGGTTAATTTTCAGAAACAGATTTTTGAGCCATTCTTCTGATTCTCTGAGTCTGGAAGCACTGCTGAAGTCTGTTCACTCTGGGTGACCTTCTGGTATTTGAAATACCACTGGCATTACTGTTAGAACACAAGCCAGCACAACATGATGAAGAGACAGACATGCGGTGGAGACAATGTACAGAACCCTTGAAATTAGCTTCACTTAATGAAAAGATGGAGTCCTGGTGTGGCACTCACTATAGGATAAGCACTGGACTGCTAACCTCAAGGCTAGTGGTCCAAACCCTCCAGTCTCTCCTCAGAAACCCTACACAGAGTCACTAAGAGCTAAAACTGACTCAACAGCATTTAACAAGATGTGGCGCTGTGGACTAACGCGTCAGACTGCAAAGTCACTTGAACTGCAAGGTCGGTGGTTCAAGCTCACCAGCTGCTCCTTGGAAACCCTATACAGTGTTGCTATCGGTCGGAATTGACTTGACGGCACTTTAACAACAACAACAACAAAGGAAAAACAGAAGGATACACAGTATGGATTAAAGTATGTTGTCTTCCCAAACTGTTGAAAAATGCTTACCCAATGTAAGCAAGAAAAAATTAATAATACCTTAATGGAACAGCAAACTGGGGTGTTAAACAACAGCATAAGCAATGAGCTCATTTGAAACTGTAAACAATGTATTACAGATGATTATGAATGAGGTTAGAAGTGTTTGATTTTCAGATTAAATTTCACAGGACTTTTGTTAAATGAAACTTTTATTCTAAGATAAATGAATTTAGAAAAGTACTCACTAAAAACGCCTTATTTAGGAACATTCTTCTGAGTAAGTTCTCATCAACCCCTCCCCACATATATATGTGCACACATACGTATGCAGGTGTACATCTCTGCCTCTCATCAACTCAGGTGTTCTATATAGTCATCATGTTATACCAAAAATTTATAAAGTTTTTAAATTCTAACATAACATTCCTTCAAACAAAATAACAACGAAACCAAACTGAGATGACAGATAAAATGTACAGCATGCAAGACAAGCCCTTGATCTGGGAAAGAGATGATACAACTCGAATGTTCTACCCTTGCTCTATGAGATGGAAGTCATACAAGAACTGCAAATGTTGTCCTTCCGGGTTCAGACAAGGCAGCTCTGGGTTTGTTTGGGGGAAATCTTCCAATTGTGTGGTAGCAGTGGCTGTCCCATTGGTGCCTGGCCATCTGGTGTTAGATGATGGTGAGGAGAATACCCGCACCCTTTATGTGGAGCTCGAAACTCCCTCTCTTTCTTAGCTGGGTGAATCCACATGTGGGGAGAAGGCCCTCCCATGACAAGTAACTTTGAGAGCTGGAATTCTCACCAATAGGCAATTCTTCCTTTCACATTACGAAGGAAGAAGATAGAGTTCTATTACACAGACAAAGCGACCACGATCCATGATCATGTTTCAAACAGAATTTCTGAAAACAAAGTTGGAATTTCTGGACTGAAGAGGGTGCTGGACTTAGTCAAAAGTACTTATAGTGTTAAAAATTCTTTGAGTAAAGCTTTTAGATAACTGAGTATTTGACTGCTGTGGAGTCAGTTCTGACTCATAGCGACCTTTTGAGTGCTGTGGAGTCAGTTCTGACTCATAGCGACCTTGTATAAGTTCTGACTCATAGCGACCTTGTATAAGGTTTTTGAGGAGCGGTTGGTGAATTTGAACCACTGACCTTATGGTCAGCAGTCCTTAGCAGTCCAAAGCTCTTCCTACAGAGCCACTGTAGGAACCCCAGGATCTGACTAGCAAATCTATTTCTACATTTTTTCCTTTGAAAGTGAATTCACATGTCCAGACTAAATTAAAGAAAGAACTGGAGCTTTGATATTGTTGGGGAGAGTTTTTCTGACTTTCTACAGTGGCCGTTTGTTTCATCTGTTAAAATAAACACCTTAAATGAAAAAAAAAAAAAAAAAATCATGTGAATACATAAATTTGAAATGAGAGGATAGCATGTTCAATCTTCCTTTACCAGTTCTGACAATCATCAATATGTATTATTAATCAAAAACAGAAGGCAGTTATTGGTATTTGCAAAGTGATTTCTAGAATGACAATTAGGAAACTGATAATAACAGTATTAACCTTTGAAGCAGAGTTAGGATGAGACAGAATGATTTTTGCTATTTTTCATCTTGACTGTCTTTGTATTATGAATAAAATTTCCTCATGTGTGTGTATTTTATAATACATGTGGGAAAAAACCTGGTATTTTTATTGGAAACATTAAGTATAAAGTTGATTTAGGTTGAAATTGATAAAGCTGAACTCTTTTCCTAAAGTCTCAAGTTACAGCTATGTAACCTGATCCGTACTAAGGCCTAACCCTCAACAAATTAGCTAATTTGGATAAAAAGCTTGCTGTGGCTAAAGGAAGAGACAGCAAGAGAGATGGATCTGGCTTTCCCCTCAATTTGGCTTTAGGCCTAAAATGATTTAAATCACAGATTCTTCTTCATGACAGCAAATCCATAGATAAAAATTACTTCAGGGGCTCATTGTCCCTTAATTAATGTCCTTGCTGATTCCCCAAAAAAATCCATAATCAGCATTTCTGAGCGAGAAATGCATTTGCTGAACTAATGTACCTGCTGTCGGTACAGGTGATGGAGTAACACCCCCTTACCTTTGTTATCCTTCAGTGAGAAGTTGTGGTTGTTTGTTGTGTCAGTCATTAAGCTGAAGTAGAACTGGTGTCCATTGGATGGCTCATCTTTATCCACAGCACTGATTTTCTGGATGACCTGGGTGCAGAGAACGTTAACTGTGAACTCATGTGGTGGACCTGGCTGTGTCCTCTGAGGGGGGAAACATTCACCTTTATATCCTTCCAGAATGCCACCTTCCAGACAGAGCTGAAGGATGAGAGAAGGAGCAGACACATGGACGGATAGGAATCCAGTCACTAAAGAGCTCTGAAAAGCAAACCATGGGCCTCTCAAAATTCAGGTCTGACTTGACTGTTGTGAACTTCAGGCATCAGCTCTCCCAACTGATGAAACCACCCGGGACACATCACAGGACACGGAACAATACGGATAAGGGTAGCAAACCAATTGGAGCATTCTCTAGACATGGCAGCCCAGCTGTGGAAGATGGGAAACTGCCCAATAAGCTTGCTATGTTATACTTTTTCTTAAAGGAGGCTGAACCCTGAAGTGCTTAACTGGGCTTTTATAATGCTTACCTTTTTTACTTTTTTGGCTGAGGAATTTCTATCATCCCAATTAAACCAGGTTTGAAAGTTCTGTTAATATTAGTTGCAGTTCCACATCAAAGCGTTAGTTTTGCCGAATCAGGAGAATTGTAGTTAAACGTAAATTTGGCCGAATTTTAAAGGCAGCCTCAGCTGGATAGATTCATAGCAATCACAAGTGAAATCTGAGTTACTCGGAAGACACCTACCTGCCCTGGCTGAGCATTTTCACACACAGTCGTCTCATAGTCCATGGCGAATTCAGGGGCATTGTCATTGATGTCGAGAATCGTGATGACCACATAGCCTCTCCCTACTTGTGATGGATTCTCTAATAAAGAAGAAAATGTCTTATCATTTACTCCGAGAGTAAAGCCACTCCTCTAATGACATATTATACACAAAACAACAACAACAACAAAAAACCCACACAAAAACACAAATTAAAAATGAGAATCAACCAGAAAGGTTTGTCTCACTAAAGCACAATTCTAATAATTAAACGATGGAGTTGCAAACAAAATCTGGAATCATAAATTTGCGGACTTTAAATAGAACTCCTGGTATGGCGCTGTAGGATAAGTGTAGGACTGCAAGGTCGAGTTGAACCCCGTGGTCTGCAGGTCAAACTCATCAGTCGCTTCTCAGAAACCCTATAATGGGGTTCCTATGAGCAGATCCGATTTGATGGTACTTAACAATAGATAATCTGATCTAAATAGTTTATACTTCAAATATATGAGGAATATGAATATGTGTGTGTGTGTGTGTGTGTGTGTGTGTGGTGTAGTGTAGTGTCCTGGTGTGGCAATGGAGGATAATCACTGGACTGCTAACCACAAAGTCGGCAGTTCAAACCCACCAGCCGCTTCTTAGAAACCTTACACAGAGTTTGAGCCATTTGAGTCAGAATTGACTCAATGGCACTCACAACAACAATGTACATGTATATATCAGAAAATTACTGAAAACAAAAATGATCAGTAAATAGGCATATTTCTGTATTCTTTGCTGTTGGAACTCATATTTTTATGAACACATATTTATATTGCATATAGGAAATACATGAGATACACAGATGGATGTAATAACTTACTTTCTTTCAATGATTTTCTTATCAAATATTAAAATTAGTCTAATATCAGAATACGCAAAGCTGAGTGGACTAGATATCAATTTATTTTCCTTAAACAAAGCAATTTCAGCTGCTCCAGTTCAGTACAAAAGCAGCACAGGAAAGAGGGCCATACAAGAACAAGATGCTCTCAGAAGGTACCTTAGGCTCACTATTTTGTAGTTCCATAAATTTTGTAAATATTAGCATGCAACACGCGGGGAGGATTATGCTTCACAAGTTGGAAATTAGGGATTTTTCCATTCAAATAAGCAATGAGGGTGATTCAAGTTGAGTTTATGAGCCCATAGCAACCCGTTCTCTACTCCCAACGTCTCTGTCCTCACTTAATGTTAAACCTTCCAACTTACGGCTCTCCATAGCCAGCACTGTGATGTTATGTATTGCATTCGTCTCTCGATCCAGAGATTTAGCAGTTGTAATGACTCCACTGTTGGCATCAATATTAAAGTATCTCTCCAAGTCTGTGTTTCTGTCAATTGAATACCTAATTGAACATTAGAAGAAGAAAAAAAACAAACAAAACTTCTATATTTATGTTTGATTAGAATTGGCCAAAATTATTTCATTAATTGCACAATCATGAAATCCTGCTGATGCTGTAATCTGTTAATTTACTAATATAAACGTTAGGTGCCATTGGATCAGTTCCAACCAAAGCAACCTTATGCACAACAGAACGTAACACTGCCCAATCCCACACCATCCTCAACGTTGTGGTTGCATTCGAGCCCACTGTTGCTGCTGCTATGTCAATTCATCTTGTTGGGGGGTCTTTCTCTTTTGCACAGACCCTCCACTTTTCTAAGGATGTTGTCCTTCTTTAAGGACATGTACATTAAAATAATATAAGTATGTGTATGTGGAAAAGGTCCATGTAATTGTAGCTTCATAACCTGTTTGTCAGTATTCTAAGCCATAAAAATAGTTATCTTGAGAGGGTTTTTGAATATGCCATTATAAACTTCATTGTCCTTTTTACTATTATTTTGATTCCTGAAAAGAATTTACACATATTTAGTAGCACTGACCATGTGTATAAAACAAAACAAAACAAAAACTGCATTGTCAATGAGTGGATTTTGGCTCATAGCAAACCTATATAGGGTTTTCAAGAAAGTAAATCTTTACTGGATCCAACATTCTCATCATTCTCCTGTAAAGTGACTGGTGGGATTGAACTGCTGACCTTGTAGTTAGCAGTCCAGTGCTTATTATTAGTCAAGAGCACTGTTGTTGTTAAGTGCTGTCGAGTTGGTTCTGACTCATAGCAAACCTAGATAAGATTTCTGAGGAGCAGCTGGTTGGTTTGAAGCAACCTTACAGTTAGCAGTCCAGTGCTTATCCTACAGTGTCACAACAGAACCCTGGTCATAAGTACAGGTCATTCTACAATGAAACAAATGAAGACATCTTGCCAGACATCACACTGGCATATAGTTAATAACATCTTTTGTCTTGATGACACCACACTAACACAAGCAGACTTTAAAATATTTATGAAAAAATGCAATGAAAAGATAATAAAGTTTGTCTGCAAACTTTCCTAAGCCCCCTGAATCTAAGTCCGTTGTTTCTGTATCTCTCACTGAGGGCTCTTGACTTGGAGTCCATGAATGTGTTTCAAGACAGAACCCCTAAAATTGCATGAAATATTCCAGTGTGTTAAAAGCCTTTTCTGAAATCTATTACCATGTGAAATTACTGCACGGAGTATTTTTATTCCACGTCATTATTTGTTCTATTCACCAAAGTTACTTTCCCTCATTTTATAACCATCTGTCTTCTAACCTCCCTCACAGGCTTTCCAGTTGTGCGAGACCGAACACATAATTAAAAAAATGCAAAAACACATACTTTGTATTTTATGTTTATATCACAGTTTTCCAAATAATACGAGGAAAGGGGATTATCTCCTTTCAATTTGTTGTGTTATAAAATACAACTAACTACAAGGAAACATAAAATACCAGAAAACATTAAAATACAAAATTAACCACAAAAGAAACTTTCCTCAACAAATACAGCATTGGATGATTTGGGATTGAAACGATGAGGAGATGATTCTCCAGCGGCTTCAATTTTCTTCATGATATCTGAGGCAAGATCACTAGCTGAATGAAAAGGAGTACAAGATATAAAGAAAAAGAGAAGTGATTTTTTTAAATAGATAAAAATAAATATGCTTGGAGCAGCTAAGCAGTGTGGACTGCCCATTTGTTTATTATAGTCATTAAATCCATGAGAAGTCAGCCGTTCCATTTGCCTGTTTTGTTTTGTTACAAAACATAGAAACTCTTATTAAACAAAGATCCACTTCTGTGTTTGTTCCATTCTCATCCATGTATTTGACGGTGTAGAAAAAGCTGAGGGTTGCATTTAAGCAGTGCATGCAATGAAGGGAGAGAAGTCTGGTAAGGCTGTCAGTGAACCCACAACAGTGATAATGAGACACCGTGGCATGCAGACTGGCAAGAGAGAAGTGAGGAAGTAGGAAAGGCAGACTGATTTTGTGAAGATGCCGGTGCCATTAGTAGATTGGAGGTCTAGACGAGGGAGCAGGATTGCTAAACTGGGAGGTGGTAGACAGAGAATGCAATGCTTGAAGTAGTTTTCAACAGTACTACATGTATCCTCAGAAACCCTATACAGGGCCGCTATGGATCAGAACCGACTCAACGGCACTTAACAACAACAACAACAACATGTACGGAAATGGTAAGCCATGAATATAGCCGTAGGAAGGCAGGAATTAAGACCAAAAAGTGAGAGGTTACAGCGTCTAATGGATTAGGGCTATAGTTGAAGAAGTTACTAATCATCATGCTGGAGTCCTGGTGTGACACCGTGGATTGATTAATGCACTGGACTGCAAAGTCAGTTTGAACTGCAAGATCGGCGGTTCCAGCTCACCAGTCAGTCGCTCCTTGGAAACTCTATACAGGGTTACTATGAGTCCGAATTGACTCACCAGCACTCAACAACAACAACAATCATCATGCTAGGAGTATGAAATAAAGGAGTGAAATGATCCATGTACAAAATCATCAATGAACGAGTGTGATTACAATGCCCGAGGAACAGGCGGGTGTCATGGAATCCACTGATATATTTCAGTGGGCAAATCGCTGCTGCAAAGGAGCTCCTTAAAGTACTAGAAAACAGATATTACTTTGAGGACTAAGGTGTGCCTGACTCAATCCATGTTATTTTCAATAGTCTCATAAGCATGTGAGAGCTGGACAAAGAATAAGGAAGATAAGAAAAACCTGATGCATTTGAATTATGGTGCTGGTGAAGAATACTGACTAGACCATGGACTCAAAGAACCCACAAATCTGCCTTGGAAGAATCAGAGTTGAGATGTTCCTGAGAAGTCAGGATTGTAAAACTTCATCCCACCAAGGCTATCAGGAGGGACACATTTCTGAAGAAGGACATCATGCTTGGTAAAACAGAGATGTAGTGAAGAGGACGAAGACCCTCAGTGAGGTGGACTGAACCATGGACTCAGTGAGAGCAATGATTTTGAGGACGGCCGTGGACCAGCAGTGTGGTTTGTTCTGTTGTAAAGAGAGTCACTCTGAGGCAGGACTGCCACTGTTCATAGTAACCTCTCATTATGTTTGCAGAGCCTGTAATAATATTTCCTCTTTGCGATCATTTATTTCTTATCCCCTTTTTTCCTCTGTCAGTATAGACTGGAACTTATCAATACTGCTGAATGTTCCGAAAAACAAGTTTTGATTTCACTGATTGGAAAAAAAAAAAAGTGTTTTCAAATGCATTGATTTCTGCTTTTATCTTATTTCCTTCTTTCTGCTTGCTTTGATTTATTTTGCTAAAGTTTATTCCTGTTTCTAGTCTAGGCTAGGGAACAGTGGAATTCATCTATCAGTGAACTCTTCACTTTTACATACCGACTACTGTCCCGAACTGCCTGCTACTTGAAGGTTTCAGAGGCCTTCAAAGCTGCCAGTTTTAAAACTGCATTCAGTGTGAGAGACAGGGTGAGGTTGCTTACCTACAAGAGGAGCAATATTAATTTTTGGCACTGAAGAGCAGATCAACAAATGCCAAGTAACCTGGAGGGATCCCGGAAAAGAAGTCATCACTTCATTGATTATACGGTAGTGATGGATGATGCCAATTGGCTCAACCATTCCAGCAAACCCTAAACGGCTTTATGAGTGATATATGCTTGTTGAGATTAGACAATTGCAAATGAGACAGAGGTCCTTTTCTTCTTCCCTTTTGGCAATGCTTGATAGGAAGCACAACTGTGCACACGCCATGGTTCTAAATCACAGCACTCTCATGCTTTGACTTTTTGTGTGAAACAGACTGTGGTAGTAGAGGTGGAACATTCGTGAACCAACCTAGTTCCTGGGTTGACCTAGGGATCACAGCTCCCCTTGTGGGATGATTCATAAGGATCTGTTCTTCAGGAACAATCTACAACCTCTTTGATCTTAACTTCCTAATTATATGAGTCAGTATCAACTACACTGTAATGGGTTTTATTTTTTGTTTACAATTATCTGTGTTAACTATTTTCAATTTGAAATTTCTATAGTGTGTTCAGTTTTCTGATCTGAACTCCAATACAAAGGTCAAGAGATCATTTACAGAAAAAACTGACAAAGGTATTTGCTGTTACATGCTGTCATGTTGGTTCTGACTCATAATGACCTTTTATAGAGTTTTCAAGAAGTGTTTAGTGGGTTTGGACCACTGACCTTGCATTTAATAGACCAGTGATTTTCATTTAATGCCATTTACTTGGAGATGAACTGGCTTCAACGCTTGTAAGTATTTCTTTCCTATTGAAAACTCAGGACATACTCAAGCAGATAAACTATCACACAAGTGCAGGCTCTGCCTTGTGTCTTCACTCTTCCGATTTTCAGAGGTGTGTACATACCAAAAATAAATACACATTCCTGGCATGAATATAATTTAAAATTCTAGTCACTTTTTGGTAAACATAATCACAAAATTGACTTGAGTTTTTAGAAATAGATGTCAATTCTGTCTCATAACGACCCGATGCACAACACAACAGAACACTGCCTAGTCATGTGGCATCCTAACGATTTTAGTTACGCTTGAGCACAATGTTGCTGCTACAGTGCAAACTCATCTTATTGGTGGTCCTCCACTTTACAAGCATGATGTCCTTCTCCAGGGACTAGTCCTCCTTATAACATATCTGAAGTAGGAGAGATAAAGTATCATCTTGATTTCTAAGGAGCGTTCTGGTTGTACGTCTTCCAACACAGAGCTGTTTGTTCTCTGGGCAGTGCATGGTACCTTCAACATTCTCCAACATGCCAAATCGAGGGCATCAATTTTTCTGTGTTCTTCCTTATTCATTGTTCGACTTTCAAATGCATACGTGGCTATTGAAAATACCATGACTTAGGTCAGGCACACCTAAACCCTCTTGTACAACAGATAGGCAATAATTCGTTTTGATTTCTTGGC